GTGAGCCTTTCGTGACAAAGGGCACAGTAAATGGCGAGATCTACAAATCTGAGTGCCTCGAGAAGCGCCTTTTGCCGTTCTTGCAGCAGCACGACGAAGCTCCGCTATTTTGTCCAGATTTGGCATCATGCCACTATTCTAAGTGTCCTGGAGTGGTATGAGGCCAATTCTGTCCTTTTTGTTCTAAAGGACATGAATCCGCCAAACTGTCCGGAGCTGCGCCCAGTGGAGCAATACTGGGCAATAATGAAGCGGGAAGCAAGAAGACAGTCAAAGACGAGAAGGACATGCTAAGAAAATGGAAAAAAAAACTGAGAAACTGGTACCGGATGACACTGTAAAGGCTTTGATGGAGGGCATCAAGCGAAAATGCGTTCAATTTTACACTCAAGGCTCCATCGATTAACTTTTCTTTTGATTTTTGAAGTAAATATATGTATAAAACTACCCTAAAATTTTGGTTTGATTCTAAACATTATAAGAAAATTGGCATGACATTTTCGGTGTCGCAATAATTTCGTGTTCGCCCTTTAGTACCAACCGGCGGAAACTAACAATTTTAAATTGGCTCACTACTTGACTAGCCTATTGCTCCCAAGTACATCTATAAGCGTACCCCAGGAATTCATAAAATGATAAAATGAGGGGTTCGTGGATTTTCCTATGTTTCGAGGGGTGCATCGATTAGCTTGGGACTGAAGATAGTACCAGAGGTGACCCAAAAAGTTGAGCACGTTTCTTCGGGAACTTCTGGTCTTAGAGTTACCTCTATGGTAGTACCGTCACATATGGTGCGCATAATCAATTCCCTTGCGTTTGACGTTTATACACTACAGCTTGTACTACAGCCATCTGTTGAGTATATTGCCCATCACAGTGTATACGACAAATGGTGGTAGTGTTTTAGCGACGATGTTTTCAATGAGAAGTGTTCAATGTGTTGTGTCTGTTTGTCTGTGATATTATATTGAGGTAACGTTAGGATAAAATCAAAACATTGATAAATACCTAAAACGCATCACTTTCAGAAATACTTCACCATACTGACGGCCATATGAGTACCTAAGTAACCATATAGTCGAAATATAGCTTTGAATATACTTACTTTGCTTGAGTATGGTTAGTTGGGAAATCCGATGAAACTATCACTTCTTAAAACTAATCCCTTTCGTATTTCTTTCATTCTATTTTCGCATTTTGCATATAACACCATCTCATACTAATCTCTACATTGATTCAATGTTGTACGGAGCGCTCATTCCGAGTGCTTGTTGAACCAGCGACTTTAGACGTGAGCTTCCTCCCTGATGACCATGGCAATGCAAGACAATTTGTTTTCGTTGAAGGAAGTATCACAGCCACAGCCCCACAGCACAGGTTATTGCTATTAGATATTTTGGCAGACAGTGGCACCACACCAACCAGCGAGGAAGGAGTGAACATCAAGCCAGGACCGGAAATTAGTACGGATTTATCTCCCTCGAAAAACCAGAAAAACCCGGAAAAGGCGAAAACATGTCAGAACCAACCAAGGACGATCTACGGAAGGACATTTCAAGTGAAGCAAGCAATGAAATACGAAGCGTTAGAGAAAAAGTACCAGGGGTTCCAAAAGAAGCAATTAACGGCGGCAGAGCTTTTATTCGCCAAAAATTGACGACTAAAGCCATTGTTTATAGCAGCAATTACGCCCCTTTGAAATGTTGACACTGATTGATGGTTTTCATTAGTGGTACATTGGCCATTGGTTTTCATTAGTAGTACATTGCACAAGGTACCACAACTACATTTGGTCGTGATCGTGAACTTGGTAAGCTTAAACGTGTGTAATTGCGTGGTGGTAGGATACATCATAATTTGCGACAAGATAGGCTTGGCTGATGTCTTCTTCGAGGTCATGTACACGGCGAATGAGAACAACCCAAATTTGAGTTTAGTTCACTCATAATCGCCAAAAGTGCAGGAACTCAGCGATGAGTAAAATTTGTCCCATGGTTTCCTGTGGAAAACCTAAAAAATCTGCCGGAAAATGAGGAAATTGACAAAAAAATTATTCAGTCTCGGAGTAGTACCAAAAGACTGAGTGAATCAAATCTTTACTTTTCTTAAATTCGGGAATTTTTCCCTGGAAAATCCTGGAAAAACCTGGGAAAACATGAGGCAAATTTACTCATCGCTGAGTTCCTGCACTTTTGGCGATTATGAGTGAACTAAACTCAAATGTGGGTCGTTCTCATTCGCCGTGTACTTCTGAGTTGATCAGATGAACTGATTCGAGGATGTTGTTTGTAGGATGAGATTGAACTCTCGCCCGTTAGAGTTCTGGTTTTGATTATGTTGGGGAACATTTAACACACCTGGAGGAAATTTCGTCCACTAGCAATCAGGTTACACCTTCGTTTTTGCACACGTTTATTTTGGATGGGTTGAATTTGCTTGAACACCGTAGGTTGGATGGATTTCAGTTCCTCTGCCCGGACCGTTCACGTTAAAATGAGAATGAAGCAAGGGGTTGAACATTCAGGTCAATTTGCCTAAGGATAGCCTTGTCCTTCACTGCAGGATATCAGCCACGGTTAGGACTCTGCTTGTGTCACTTCTAGTCCGGAGAAGTTCTAGGTCGATAAGTTGACAACGGCTTTTGTAACTGGGTAATCGAAACGGATCATTCCAAGGCAATCTACGCAACGCAAAATGAAGAAAGCGACGTTGAACAGATTCAATTCTCTCGGCACCGTTGTTGTAGTTTGGGTTCCAAACCGCTGAACAATACTCAAGCGTCGATCGAACAAGCGAACAATAGAGAGATTTTAGACAGTAGATATCGGTGAAGTTTTTAGCTATCCTAAAAATGAACCCTAAAGTACTTGACGCCTTATCGACAACATATGCAATGTGTTGCTTGAATGATAGCTGTGAATCCAAGATCACACCCAAGTCTTTCACCTGATTCACGCGTTCGATTGTCGAGCCAAGCAAGTCATAGCTAAATATTATCGGTTGTTGTTTTCGTGAAAACGTAATAGCGTAGCTTTTGGCTGGGTTCAATACCATTATGTTTAAACTGCACCAATCATAGACGTAGCCATAGCGGGCGCGGGGTGGGAGGCTTGATCCACTCCCCCTCCCCCTAAACTCAGTAGCACAAAGATTTTCGGTGAAATGGTATTCGGCCAAATTGTCCATAGTAATTTTTTTTCGTCCCTCCATAGCTCGAAACTTGGCTACGCCCTTGTCACCAACTAGCGAATACATTCAGCTGATTCGTAGGATGATTTTGAGGTCATCTGCATAAGATAACCGAGGAGCTTCGATGACCAGATGCAAGTCGGCGAAAAAGCTAGCTGATTTGCTATCTCCTATGGGAACTTTTAGTTGGCGACCGGTAAGATATGATCGAAACCAACACAGAAGATTACCGCATACACCGAGCCTGCCGAGTTTAGCAACCGCAATAGCATGGTTCAACTTGTCGAATGCTGCGGTGTGAATAAATAACGTCCGTTTGAACCCGATCCGACATGCTTTCGGTTATATACGATGTGAGACACAGCAGATTGTTGGTTTTAGCACCGACGAAGTTTTAGAGCGGCCGACAGTAAACCCATGTTGATCAGCACTCAAATACTGCTTGCAATGGGACAGCAACGGTTCCATAATCACTGGCTCGAATAGCTTCGAAACGGCACTTAACGATGTAATTCCTCGATAGTTAAGGCCCACGCACATTAGATCCGGATCGGACGCGTTGCGGCAAAGTGACAGCTAAATCTATTGTATGACTGTCAAATTTACGTCAACGTAACGCAAACGGATCTAATGTGTGTGGCCCTTTATCCATTGCACAGCGCGTTTCCTTCCTTTTTTGTGGACGGGAAACATGAGCTGAAATTTCCAGCAGGATGAAAATGTCACTGGAGAGAGAACAGGCGAAAGAGAAAGTCGACGAAGAGAATCGATCAATGTTACTTAGGACCTAATGCAATGTTCAGCTTGAATTGTTTGAACTTTTTTTGTTTTAAACCTCTGTTGTAGCTTTGAAGCATCTCTCGTAATGTTTTCAGATTAAATACATTAGTTGCGTTTTCTGACGCAAAGGCGCATTTATTGGCCGACAAACGCTCCCAAAAAAGGGAGAGTGGTCCATATTGTTAATATAATATCACCCATAGGTATTCTCGTTTGCGAACGTTTTCGGTTCAAACGTAAACGAGAATATAAGTGTAGGTAATATGCTGTTGATTCTTTATTAGTCAAGTCATTGTGGAAGTAATCAAAAGAACAGTCAGTTTAGTAGTAGTCTTAAATTGTATTCTAGTACGAACGTCGCAGATCAGAGTAAATATCGAGGACCTGATTCAATTACATTAACCACATAATATAATGTTCATAATTATTAACAGAAAATGTTTGCACTTACCTTGTATGCTATGTTTGTTTTGTTGGCAAGAACATCAAAAAGAATACTCCACTCTTGTATATCTTAATTATCAAAATATACTATTGTTATTTAACAAGCTATCAAGTTGGCCTGCTAACAAAAAGATAAATATACCTTGAAATATTATTAAATTCTCGATATTTAAATAGATATTTTATAAATCCAACCATTGACTTCGTATGTTGCACATTCACTAAATGCCGAATGTTTTGATGAGTGACGTCATACGTGGATTGACTTGTCACCGTATCCGATGAGGTTTTCTTTCGAACATGCGCAGCGCACTCTGGTAAGCGTTATAGTGCACTATATTAAGTGAAGAAATGAACCTTAGAATTGTCACGAGTTGAATAGGCGTAGAAGTGTTCCATATTTCTTACATCACGAAACCTTCTATATGACAAAATAAATGAAACCTATATTTATAATGACGAACTAATAAGAATAATTTACCTTTAGATTTAATATCTCTAGTTAACCCAGTCATCATTTTTCAGCAAAAATATCTTTTCAGAATGGAAACAGCAGTTCTTTATAAATATGTACGTTTTAATGTAGGACCATTAATGTCATTTCATTATTTATCCTTTAAGGACATTTTACCCAAACATTCAGTCAGTGAATCTTTTACGCTATCCACACTAGGTGTTTCTTCGGTTTCCATTTCCTTGATGCTAAGATTGATTTCACTTCCTTCGTATATATTCGCACTACTTTGGCTGCCTTTGGACGATTCCAGGCTATGCTCACTGTATGTCCTTTCAACAATTTGAAGCTTATCAACGTCAATTCCAACGACTGTTGGATGCTGAGTTATTTCAATCTTAGTAACTTTCTGGACCTGGACGGTCTGCGGGGTGCTGTTTAGTAGTTTGAATTCTGGAATATCTTCTTGGGCTCGTAGCCACAGTGGACTCGTAAGCATCTGTTCTTTGATAAAGTTGGAAGCTTTGAAGCAATCACCACTGCAAAAGTTCTTCCGCTCGGTGATGTCGTAGACCTTTTTGTTCGATAGTGAGATGACATACTTTTGTTGAGGAACGCTGTAATGGAATGCGAAGATGTTAATTTTCATAGTGTAAGCCACGACAAAATTCAACTTACTTGCTCAGCACGTTTTGGCATAGCGGATAGCCACATATCTTCTGGATGGCTCTTTCTTGCACAACATCTTCAAAGTGGCACTGGTTTATGTCTTTTAGCTGAAAAATAGACAATTTATTCAATCATTGATATTTGCAACACAATTGCGATGCCTACCATCAGTAGAAATTTATCAACATCGTCAACGGGTTCAAGTAAGGTTTCGACAATTTTCTGAGCCTTTGAATTGCACTCTTTCTTCTTTCGTAGGGCCAGTTGAAGCTGCTCCTTGCTGAGGAGGAACGGAGATTACATTTTTAGGATCTGGCCAGGGAATGCTGGCAATTAGGACTTTATTATACCTGAAATTTCTCGCTTTGCGAGGTAATTTCGCACGGTTCACTTTTTGTTTTTCTTTAACTGCTTCTTCATCTCGAAAAACACTGATATTTTCTTCGTCAAACATACTTTTGAACAGTAAAATTAAGAAAAACTTTCCTTGTTTAGAAATAGTAGCAAAATGTATGATTTTTGTATTCGATGAAGCAAATAAAATTTAATGGTCAGAGACTTGGGACGTTAGTGATTTTGTGACACGCGTTATATTCAAAGCGAAGCACGGCCGATGAGAGTAGCTCATTACACGGTAACCGCAAAAACCTCAATAATTACTAAAAAGTGCGCACGAGAGTACGCATTTTCGAGGGAAACTGGGACTACCCAATAAATGAGTAAATCGTGTTTTTTATAGTCAAAATAAACTCCGGAATGGAGTAAAATTTACGCATGTTTTAAAAAGCTCTATTTTTGAATTTTAAATTATTTATACGGAACAATATTAGAAATAAAACCACGAATCAATCAAGTTTAAATTGCATACTTTATTTAAAGAATCATATCACAGACAAACAGACATAACTCATTGAATATTTCTCACTGTAAAACATCGTCCCTAAAACATTACCGCCATCTGTTGAGTACACTGTGGTGGGTAGTACGCTGAACAGGTGGCGGTAGTGTGTAAACGTCAAACTCAAGGGAAAAGACTATGCGCGCCACAGGTGGTGGTACTACCAACTACGATACTTTTAAATTGTCCGTTAAATGCTTGTTCGATGAACTACTTGCGAGAGTTATGTCTGTTTGTCTGTGATCATTTATTATATCATAATCATTACATTTTATTAATTTTTAATATAATTATTCGTCAATCGGAGTTGGCATTCATCGATTCAATCCAGGATTTCAGCTTAATTTTGAGACTTTAAATTTTACATTTCCTAAAATTCTAACAATCTCCACTCAATTAACAAATCAGTGCCAACATTTCAAAGAGGCGTACTTGCATTTGTAAACAATGGCTTTAGTCGTCGATTTCTCGCGAATAAAAGCTCACTCATGAAAAATAATGACACCAGCAGGTAGAGGAATGTTCCCTCTACCAGCTAGTATTGTAATTTTGGAGAGGTAAGATTTCATTCGCGAGAAATTGACGACTAAAGTCATTGTTTACAAAAGCAATTACGCCCCTTTGAAATGTTGTCACTGAAATGTACATTATAGCTAAAAAATTTTAAAATATTTGCAGCACGTACATTTTCTTTGAACTCTTTTACTTTCCGGCAGGTGCTTCCAAAAATTTAATATTTTGTAATACTAAAAATGAACATATTTGTAGTTCTTTGGTGAACGTTTCAACTCAATAATTATAATTATAAATATTAATATTATTGATCATAAGGTAACTGCTATTTTATCGAACACAGCTGTATAATGAAAATTGTGTATTGCAGATAGAACGTGTAACCAACCGGTTACACTCGTGTTTATTTCAGTTACCGTGTGGACGTAATTTGTGATGAGCCCCGGTCCCTTTCAAATTTTATCATTATTTATGTACGGTCCACATATTTGAAATGACGTTTCACAATCATCTAGTGATGGCCGATTTTCATTCGGATTATCGATTAATCGATTAACGAACCGAAAAGTAAAATATTTGTTATCGGTTATATCATGCCGATATAAGCATTAACTTCTCCAGAGGATCATCACCGATCGTTTCAAACATGTGCTGCACTCTCATTGGTGGAAAAATGGCATCACAGTGAACAAAAAAATCGATTAGTTGATAAACGAGTAATTAAAAAAATGGGACATCTCTGACTTTGGTGTGTTTGTTTTGATAAAAATGAGCGCAAAATTTCATCATTACCGAGGGGGCAGCAAAACCCCAAAATTACCTTGAATACGGGAGGTATTCATTGGATGAAAGGGACCGTGAAAGAGAACACTAAAATAGAAAGTTTTTCTTCTGACAGTTTCATCTTAGTATTCATCTTTGGTGTAACTGAGTCGAATTCAGCTCAATGTAATTTAAATAAACCACTTTGTCAAGCAGTTTTGGTGCAGGTTTTGGTGTGACTTTCTACCAGCGGGCCAACAAATAAGTTTTTGACGTAGGACTACGTCTGTGATTTCTATATGGGGGTACACTTTGTGAAAACCAAAATTATGAAAGATTTTGAACGTTAATAACTCAGCTGCCCCTAGACCAATTTCAATAATTTTATCACCAATCGATCAGAAATATTTTGACCAGGGTAGTGAGCTTTGGTCAAAAATTTTACTAGTTTTGATATGTTCATTCATGTCGTTTTGTCGGTGGTAGTCCTATATCATCATTGCGTACAACCCCATAGGGCTGTCTCTTGTAGTTTTTTTTTAATTAAACGCATACATCGTGGTTCAGAAAAAAAATCTCAAAATATCGTTTTATTACGAAGTTCGAGTGGTAGTAATTATACACACCAAAAATTATCGTCAATACATTTAAAAACTACAAGGGGCAGCTCTATGGGGTTGTACGTAATGGTGACATAGGACTACGTGGTCTTATATAATAAATCATATTTGTTAACTGCAGCAGGAGCTTGTGTTTTGTGTAGGAATCCTCGTAGGAATCGAGGTATGAATAGGAATTTGAGAGGGGTTCTTTCTGTTTATACTCTTTAGTATGACGCGCTTCATATAGATGGCCCACAGCGACTCACGAAGAGCTACCGATTCCGATCAATAGCGGTGCGGCTTCTTCCTCCTTCTATGGATGCTCATGTGGGCTGCAGCTCGCTGCTTGCAGGCAGCCTTTCGTTGGTGATTGAGTAAACATCATTTGGTGCGACCGGATGGAATTCAACTTTGAAATCTGCTTTCGCAGGCAATCGGAGATAACTTTACCCGTAAAAAAAAGTCCAATAAAAATACAATGATTTTCATTGTCACTGTAACCATGATATTGATTGTCAAAACATTGGACATTTTTGTCCATTACCATAAAATAACAAAGAAATTCATGGTTCACAACAATGAAAATCATGGTATTTGAGAATTTTACAGTAAAAAAGTAGAAGGGTCTGTGCCTAGGGGCACGAACGGAAGCTTGACGTAGGACCGCTAGTGGACGGAACAAATGTGAACATTTAGTTCTTTTAATTGATCAATCATCAATTATCTTAACTCTTTCCGTTTTTTATTTGTAAGCGTATCAAATTTGTAGTATTTATTTCAAAGAGAAAGTTGATGAAGAGAATCCAAGGGACTGTCAACTTGAGTATTTTCGATTCATCTACCCGACTTTAAAAGGTGTATTTTGATTTTTTTGTTATTTATGAATTTTTAAGTTTTGTGCATTTTGGTATTAAAGTGTATTCAATTCACCCCTCACAGGATTTCCTTCCGAATTATATAAATGGGGCGTATCGTTTGTGCAGAATATGTAAAAAAGGAGGGACTTCGAGAGATTGAACTCGTTAACTCACAAATTTGATTTTATTGGCTTTCTGGGGACTGAATATACACCCAAAGCGAATTATTCCCACTTCTCTCAAATTCTATATGGATTTTTAACACTTCCTACCAGCGTGTTCTGGAAAATGGTCGGATGATGATAAATCTCACCAATACATTCAGGCCTACAATTCCACACCTTATATAGAGACTAGGTTGAGCCTTGATAGCTAGCTGCTTGCGGGAACTGATGACCTTGACAAATGTCCAAATAATACTCTTAAAAAATTTATGGTGGTTGAGTAATGCTGACGAGCACGACGAGCTACTGATTCCGATCCTTGCAGGCAGTCTTTCGTTGTTACTGGAGAACAATTTTCAACGCCACACGCCGAAAGCACTGCTACTGCTGCTACTAATTTCGACGACCGAACACCACCACAAAATGGTGTGTTCGTTGGGAGCGTGTGGTTCTGAGTATGGCGATGAGTGTGCAAAATATTACGCAATTCCATCCTCCCTATTCGCACGCGCCCGAGGATCGGAGGCGAATGGCACTTCGACTTGTTTCGTCTACTTACTACTCTCTGACGACTGTGCTGGGGAAGCAGCATATGCATGTAGGTAGTTGGTGGATTTGTTAGTTAATTCGACGCTTTTGGACAATGCTGGACATTTACCTGTTTTTCAATAGTTTCTTTTTTAAAATCAACAACCAAACCCCCCCTTTGGAGAGGGATGGTGAGGGGTGTCCCCCCCGCCACCACTGGCAAAAGAAATGAAAACCGACCCGTTCAAGTACCAACTGTGTGTTTGAAACAGTTCTACCGATTTTTACCGCACTTCAATTGTTATTTGAAGGAAGGCATCCAGTCGTAGGTTTGGAAATTGCAACTATGGTTTACCCCTACCACGATATGTGCTCCTGTCATCGTCGACTTGACGATCTCGAGGGGACACGGGATGGGAGCATACCATCAATTACTGTCAATGGTCGAAAGGTACAGTAGCAACACCTACCCCACCCGTGTCCCCTCGAGATCGTCATGTCGACGATGACAGGAGCACATATCGTGGTAGGGGTAAACAATAGTTGCAATTTCCAAACCTACGACTGGATGCCTTCCTTCAAATAACAATTGAAGTGCGGTAAAAATCGGTAGAACTGTTTCAAACACACAGTTGGTACTTGAACGGGTCGGTTTTCATCTCTTTTTGCCAGTGGTGGCGGGGGGGACACCCCTCACCATCCCTCTCCAAAGGGGGAGTTTGGTAAAGAGAGATGAAAAAACCGATTTGTACCTTCCTTAAAAGTTGTCCTAGTTCGCTATTCTAGTATCTATATACAATCTTCACACTGCCGTACTCTAACGGAACTATCAACTCTATGCTTTCATCTACTCCATCTATCGTATAAAAATTACCACTACAGTCTGAAATTAGCATCTTCAAGATTATTTTTGTTTCAAAATAAACTTTTGGCCTGAAACTTTGGTATAGTTAACATATATGTCCTTTTAAATTTAAAAACAAATACTTTCATCATTATTACGTCCGTTTTCATTCCAAAATCTTATAAATATTCACATAAAAGTTTTTATTATTTGAAATAAATGTACAAAAATATGTTAATTGATATTTTAAACAATCAATATTAAATATATGATGTTGAATTTCCTTCTCCCGAGTGGGGAAAACTTCACATCGCATTGTACAGTGTCTTGCCCGCTCGCTCGCCCGTATGATCCCAGGAACTTTTTAAACTATTTCCAGTAGATTATGGATCAACTTTGATTGTGTTGCGGGTGGACTCCTCACGCTTCCCATGGTCATTCAATGGCGAAAAAAAGATTTCGAATTTTAACGCTACTTCCACCTGTATGCAGTGAGAAGTGTATCCGTTCCAATTTGCTTGTCCAAGGTGTCAACAATCTGCTCAGCCTTGACTCCTTTCATCGCAGGAGTTTGCGTATCAGCTGTGCTAATTCCGTGAACAATCGGACCTGGTGCTAAGATAAAACAAATAAAACAAATTCATAATAAACCTTCCCTAATAAACAAATACCATAAACGAACAATAACCCAAATAGTCGAACTTTTCCACAAATGGTTTGGATGATACTCCAAACACGTCGTTAAGCAAAATAACCATAACAAATTTATTAGGGTTATCAAATTTCAACTCACCTAACATTCCCTGCTGCAGCGGAAAATCATAATGTTTCCAAGGATTTCTCGCCTCCTTCTTGTGGTTGCTTATGACGTCAGTGTGCTGCCAAGGCTGCCAACAACTTCATTATGAAGAGGTATTTTTGACAGTTGTACAACTTTTATTTTCAAAAATGAGCTTTTAAAATTACGAGTCGAAAGTGAAAGAAATATTGTTAAACCAAAAGAAATAATTTTCAATTTGAGTTTTTCGTAGTTAAAACTACGAATTTAGGGAAACTTTTAAATTGAAATTGCATTATTTTTATAACAACAATTTTTGTTTTTTGTGTGTAATGATAATTTTATGGTACTGCTATTGCTTTAATTACAACATTAATTTTTATTTGAAAACAATAATATTAAGCATTAAACGAAAAAGAAGCAGAAAATACATGCATTGAACGCATATTTCGATTTTATACTATTGCAGGCATAAATCATTTTTATACTAAGTCTGTATTCTCTCCCTTTATACCGACCTTTGCGTCGGCACGGAGAGTTGCGATTTAGCGTAACTTTTATACTATTTAGCTTTCAATATTTTTTGAGTGTATCTTTGTTTCAGTGTACACTCAAAAATATTACAAAACGAATATAGATTAAATTTTATGCATTTTATGGTTTTCCAAAATTTATACATTAGTTCGATTAAAATTTTCGTCAAAATTATACTAAGTCCGAATAACGGAGTAGAATTCGATCAGTGTTTACTAAAATGACAGGAATAAGAACATCAGGATTCCCTTCGGAGCTTCGTGCTGGTGAAGGGCTTTGTCCCAGCGGATTTCTACTGCGCCTGTAATCTGCTGGGCAGCATCGAAATCGTAAGTATTTTTTTTTAATATTATTAATAAAAAATAAACTAATGAAAAAAGCTTCCTGAGACAATTTTCATTTTCATTTGAAAACAATAATATTTACCATAAATAAAATAAAGAAGCGAAAAATACATTCTCTTGAATAAACCGTATCTATGCATTGTGAGTATATTTCCATTTTATACTGGCACGCATAAACCATTTTTATACTAAGTTTGCATTCTCTCCCTTTATACCGACCTTTGCGTCGGTACGGAGAGTTGCTATTTCAATGACATTTATATAAGGTCTGGGCCAACAGGCAGTTTGTTGGTGTTAGAAGCAAAAATGTTGTAAACATTGCTGAACATCTCCGAACAGATAGAAATACGTCACTGCCAACATACTGAGAACAGATAGAAATACGTCACTGCCAACAGCTGTTTCGTGTAAAAAGATAAACATTGCAATAAAATACGAACACCACTAAACATTTGCACATTTCACTAACACCAATAAGCCCTTTGGCCCAGACCTTATATAAACGTCATTGTTGCTATTTAGCGTAACTTTTATACTATTTAGATTTCAATATTTTTTATGTTAAATCTAGTTGTCTTCCCCCTTCGAAAACCACTCAATTTTGAGTTAACTCATCGGCCGCGAATTATCTGATGCACGCTAGCGCTACCGTAACGCCAGCGATGAATGCGAAAACTATTGAAAGAAAGAAAAAAACAAAGGAGATTGGAAGAAACATTCCAGAATAATTTCTCGAGACAAAGTGAGTGTAGCAGTTTTCCTACGGTTCAAAAAGTGCGGAAAAGTCGTCGCAAGTCGTTCTGGTGGCACCGAAAGTATCATTAAATTGTGCGCGGAAGTGACTAGATCATCCGGTGAGTGGAGTTTGTCGTGGATTAATCGGGAAAAGGCATGAAAAGTGGTTTTTCCGTTTCGAACCAACAGTACCATCCACGCATTTCAGACAAGATGGCGGCGACGGCAGCAGGAGCTGAAGAGTTCGACGTCGAGGAGTTGCTCGAGGCCCCATACAGAAAGGAGGTGAGTGTTTTTATTTTGTTGGCATGGGAAAATATGGGACTTTGAATAGCCAGTTCTCGAATATCGTGGAACTGTCGGGTTTTGGCGATATTTTTAGAAGGACGAGCCGTCTGCGGAATAGAGCGTTTATTTTTGATAACAGCAAAAATGAAAGGGCACAGGGTAATTTTTTTTTTCTTTGCGGTTGTCACTTGGACGACAGGCTGAGGTTTGCCAAGATTTTGTTGTTGGTGCAGGCTGGACGTTTATTTGTGCGGGGTACCAATAAATATTAAACCCTACTAAAGAGTGTAATCCTCGTTTCTGCATTTTGTAGACGTATCCCAGTTTGAGTTGATGCGCCATTGGTTCGACTAGCCCACTAGTGAAGCAGAAACCCAAGGTACAATGAAGAAAAAATGTAGTAAAACAGAAATGCTAAATGTTAATACAACGACTAAAAACGTTCAGGAATAAACATATAAACCAAATTACAGATAAATAAATACAATGCCCTGAATGGATGAATGAGTACCTATGGTGGTTTGGAAGATACGCAATTACTGATCATGATTTATTCGATGCTTTACGCTGATCTTCCAAAACATCAACATAAACGTATTAAACTATAAAGCGAATAAAGTAAAGTGACTAAAGATGAATACTTTTAAACATGTCGTCCTTTCTGTTTTTCTAGGTAAAATGCATGAGCTGTCTGTACAAGTCAAAGAGAGAACGGGATGTAATTCCTTTCGGTTCTCTCGTCTGCTAGATTATCAAAGTATCAACTAAATCATGCTGTTTCGTGCAATGTCTATTGCTTTAATGTTGCACACAGTAATTGAACTAGTTTTCTTATTTTAGATTGTACGCCGTCATATCAATTGAAATGATGTTTTAGAGCTGCTGCAAATGTTTTGTCAAGGCAAGTTTATTCGATTCATATCTCAACATTTGTCATTTGATTTTCCTTGATTGCGTCCCAATCTAAACAAGCAATCACAACTTGTCCTTTTATTTGCAATGGAAGCTGCTCTCTGTATATTCCCAAGTTGCGAGATCTTGATGCACTTGTAATAATTTAGCAAATGTCTCCTTATTTGTCAGGTGTCGCTAGAAAAAAGCAACTATTTTGCACCCAACAGGCAAAACATTCGTCAGCTTAAAGGGTCTACCAATCCATACAGCGCGCTTCTCCTTAGGTAATTAAGCCAATCCATATCCAATGTTTGCAAGCTGCCCGTTGCACACAAGCTAAGTAATCACTATCTATGGCATCTTATATTTGAATATAGATCAATGAAGAAGATAACCTCTTAAATCCAGTGGAAGCAACCGTTGCGACGCGCGAGGCATTGACACTTGTAAGGCGTGAGAAGGCAGAACTAAGTCCAATGTAAATGATCAACGCAAGATCCTCACCACGAATTTCTCAAGATAGTGTGCAACGTGAAATTTGAACTGGAAGGGTTCTGTATCGCTTTCTTTAGAAACCCGATTTAAGCATAGCAGATGTCACGTTTCGTTCTAGATCACCCCAGGTTGGGCCCAGTGGTGTCAACGCTCCGCATTTTTCCAACGTTAAAAAAAAAAACATCAAACGACTCTCTTTGCAGGTCCTTGCCAAAATATCGATGGGTGCAGTGCGACTCACCTCCGGTCTCTCCAATTTGCTTCCTCTTCACCTCGAGCGTGTCGTTCGTGCGTAAGGTGCTGATAACGAATGCTTTTTTGGGTCTCTTCTAGGTTCATGAGCTTCACCATCGTTGTCGTCATCGTCGTTGGCCTCTTCTCCAGTGTTCTATTGGGTTTCTGCTAAAAATGTTTTCTCATTGCCATGCTTAAAGTGGTGCGATCGGAACTCGTTCAGTTCACATTTTGTCTACAAGGACAGCTGCTGGCTTATGGAGATGATCATGGTTAAGCCGGAGTGTTCGGTAATTCATGGTTTGCAATCATTACCAAATTGGTACCGACACAAAAAAGTACCATTTTGTTCGGGTTCCCGTGCGCATTGACATTGCAGGCATTTGGAGTAATCGTTTCGAATCGATATGTTTTTGTAGCTTACGCTTCCATTTGTTATTGCCATACACCACCAATAAGTTCAGCAATCATTTCAGCAAAAAATTCCGAACAATCAGCAACATAACGTGACGGAGAAGTGACAGCTCCTTACTGTAAACTCGCCTCCGATCGATGCTCAAGTGATTTGAAAGCCAATTACAAACGGTCGATATCGACTAGCTTTCTGGTCGTTCATTTCGCAGTTCAAGTGAATTGAACGCCGAATTGACACGTCTAAACCGGGCAGCAAATACTTCTGTTTTAAGATTGGGTTGTGCTACATTATTTTGATTGCTTATCGTTGTTTGAACATTAGAAGAAGTGTCAAAATAGATCCACCGTCACCGCTAATGATCTAGTTCTTGAATGCTGGTCCTGTTGGGGGTACCCGAATCATATTCAGGCGTTGCTAATGTGTTATTGGGTTCTCATTATGACGTATAATAATCATAGATTTTTCAAGATTTCTCGAGGTTCTAGAAGACAAAATATCAAAATCAAGGGGTAGGTCACTCCGCACACCAATCTTGGTTCATCGTTTTTTCAGTGTGTCGCAAGTGAGCCGCAGGTGTGCCGATTGTGCTGGTCATAGAGCAAGCTGCAATCACAATCTCCGACTCCCCAACTCTGATTTCGATTGAAAAAAAAACGATAAAACGGTGCTTCTATGACATCCGGTTGATTAAACTAAACGTCGTTCAGATTAACGGGGGTCCACGGTATTTAGTAAAAATATTACATTGGAAATGGCAAGGACATTATTTATTGATATTTCAGATATTTTCAAATAGATCTTTGTTCACAGATTCAAATCTTTGCTGCATAAACGCGATGAAATAAACAAATTGAATATAAATTTTGTGATCTATTCTGAGAATTTTGTAATATGGAAATACTGATCAAAAATGTTTAAATTAATTCAGAAATTTCATAAGAAGACGAATAAGAAGAATGAGAAGATCAGTCATCACTTCTAGCCCCCTTTCATTGAAAAGGTGCGGAAATGCCAATTTGTCATCTCTTTCATTTTCTCGTTGTCCTTATACAACGATGAGTTTTAGGTCACATTCTTCGTTCGGCATAAGAACAGCAGAAGAATGAAAGAGACGACAAATTCGCATTGCCAGACCTGTCCTCCATGGCATTGCTTCTAAATTCCATGTGTGTGTGGCAGCATAGTGACGTGAACGTAAATTTTAAGAATCTCCACAGAACTCTAGGGATAATATCAACAGAATTCAGAGGAGAAATTGTTAGGGAAGAATTGTTATGAAAACTTCAAGTGGAATCTTAGGGAGGATTCCTGTTGAATTACAGATTCCAGATTGAAACGTAAGGAGAATTCCAAGGTAGCTCTAAGTAAAATCCCAAGAGAATCATGAGTAGGATTCAAAGTAAATTTCCAACAGAATTCTGAGGAGGATTTCAAGGTAATTCCCAAGAGAATTGCAAATGAGTTCTGGCTAAAATTGCAAAGCAATTTTGAGGATAATTCTAAGGGACGTGTGAGAAGAACTCCAAGGTACTTGTGAGTGGAATTTCATGAGAAGAAGCATTCAAAGGGAATGCTGAAAAGAATTCAATGCCAATTCTGAAGATCATACATTTCAAAGGAATACTTAGGAGAGTTGTAAGGCAATTACTGTACTCATTTTTAGAGAACTCAAAAAAGAGTTCTTTGGGAATTCTGAGCAGCATTTTATGGAATTTACTATACAACTTCAAGAGAATTCCTTGGGTATTTTAGGAGAATATTTAGTAAATACTGAAGAGAGATTATTTTAGAAGACTTCTTTGGGATCCAGGTTGGAACTGAATCAAAAACAAATTCAATGTAAGTGTGATTCTAACACCTTTTTCATTTCGCAGTTTTAAGTGCGATTAAATGGTTTGGTTCGGCATTTCAACCGAAAAACAAAATGTGTAGCTGAACTTGCAGGCACACATCTTGAAATTTAGGCATCCTAGACGTCCAAAATGGTTATAATTTAGAAGTAAATTCTCTGTGCTACACTGAGTAGCAATTCTAACCAAGGCAAGACGAAAAGCGGTAGCCAGTTGTGGCTTCCTTTTGTAATGTTCTTAAACACATGTTTAGGTCATTCGTGACTTGTCCGGGATGATATTTGAACTTCAGTCCTTCTTCTATGAAATTTCTTGTGACGAATGTATGCTTTATTGTTGTGTTGTTTTACTTCGGGACATAAGCCTGGTCCTATATTATCATCTCTGGTATATCTGAGAAATAGCAAGAATCATACTTGAATCAATGTCCGTCAAAATACATCAAATCAAATGAGTCTTCATATGACAGATAATTACCGGTCCTAGAAGACCACATTTTCTGCATCTGAATGTTGGGTTTGCCAAATATGATACAGGGATCATCAACTAAATTAACCTTACTGTATGCCTAACCTAACAGTATGCAGAGGTAGATCTAAACGCAGGTAACGTAAATTATTTTTGAAAAGTTTTTTTAACGATACTTGTCATTCAAGCGAAAGATTGGGTCAAATTTCCTTAAAGATGTTTCGTTCCAACTGAAACGTTACGCCTGTCTTCTTTGAGAAATTCCATTGCACAGCGAGAGCTTTCCACACCTATTGAACCATTTTTCCATTCGTATGTTGTGTGACCAGATCATTGGAACTGGAGCAAAATTTCTCAACTAGGCTATTTATGGTCAAACTACGCAACGCAAATGATCTCTGAAGAGGATTACCACCGCCACCGAACACTCCCGGTGATCATGCCATAGATCATCGCAACGTTCGCCAGCAGCGTATCTCCCATCTTATCCAGTTTGTTATGAAAAGTGTTTTCAAAGGCAACATTTTCCCTGTTACAGATCAATTGCTTTTGAAGCATTTTGTGAGCCTAGCTGCCGAGCTGAAAGCGTTTGCACTAGAATTGGTAACACGTGTATGCAGGCCGCAACAAGGTAGAGCATGAGTTAAGACAATCAGAACAGTAACGAGAATGACATCCAAAATTATCAAAACAACAGAAACCGTGTTATTAGTCTCAGAAGCAAGATCCCATATCTCAAGCGTATTATTTTTGCAGAAAGCGCGTTCTCTCTGTGTGACACAGAAACATTCTACGTGTTGGGCGTGTGTTGGTTAACCCCCAATCATGTTGAGTGTCGTTGTGATGGTTCACTTAATCGAGTTGGTTGAGGTCCCGAGGCTCCCCAGTCTCAAGGGTACTTCACACCGCCGACTGATGACAATGCATACAAACCCGAAACGGTAAGTTCAATCTAGGAAACTGGAGCTACACCAAAAAGTGTCGGAAGCATTCTATTCCTAGGTGACCCGCGATCGTGAAAGTGGGGTTCCCCTTCTCTCTATCTTGTACTGGAAGAACAGCATTCATCATACTGGCCAAGAAATAAAGCGAGCACAAAACGAGGATCTACCGCGCATCATCATTGTTATCTTTTACTAGATAAGCCTACCGTTTAAGCAACACCGCTGCCTAGCTACATAATTTTTATTAATGCCTGTCGAATCTCTTTTTTCTTTTTTCCATTCTTCTTTATTATTTTTTCCCCGCACGATTCTTTGTATTTTCTCTCGAAATCATACCTCCTGTTTGGATCAACCTGCTACACGATCATCGATATCTCAACGACGCGGCATCCGATTTGACTTCAATCTGCAAACTCGTGAATGCTTGACATTCTTTAAAACAAAATCAAAAATCGCTCGACAAAATTCAATTCCGAATCTGATATGTATGTTTGTGTGCCCGTTAGGACGATGGATCACCGGTAAATAATGGAGTGTCCAATGGACATAGGAAGGATCGTGATAATGGCCACAAGTCGTCTAGGTAAGTTTTTCTTATCGATGAACTATAAAAGCTGGCATGAGTTTACTGAATCGGGTTTTCTTGCAGACATCGCAGCCGCTCTCGGGAACGTGATCGCGATGGGGATAAACGTCGCAAAGATCGTTCGCGGTCGCGCGAAAAGCGAGACAAGGACAAGAAGGACAAGGATCGTGAGCGTCGTTCAAAGTCACGCGTAGGAGATCGTTCGCGGGACAAAAAGGAGAAGGATAAGGATCATCGTCGTCAGGAGCGACCCAAGGAAGTTGAGCGCCCGCGGGAACGCCATAGCGAGCGTGATCGTGAGCGTGATCGCGATCGCGGCGATCGTGAGAAGCATCGTTCAAATGAGGTTCCCAAGGAGCGTTTTCGTCCCATGCGAGAGAAAGAATTTCGTCGACGCAGCCGGAGCAAAGACAAGGGGTTGGTATAGTTATTATACAGTACTTGCGGTATAACTTGAATATTCTTAATCAGTTTCAGACGCCGTTCGCGTTCACCGAGACCGTTCCGACGTGGACGTACACCTCCGAATGGTGTACGCTTTCGGGATGATTCTCCACGTGAGGAGCTTAGTGTAGAGGACCGCGATGCACGTACCGTTTTCTGTATGCAACTGTCGCAGCGGATTCGAGCTCGCGATTTGGAGGAATTTTTCTCAAGTGTTGGTAAAGTTCGCGATGTCAGGCTCATTACCTGCAACAAGACCAAACGCTTCAAAGGTATCGCATACATCGAATTCAAAGATCCAGAATCGGTGGCACTGGCCCTTGGTTTGTCCGGCCAACGTTTGTTAGGAATTCCCATTTCCGTACAACACACCCAAGCGGAAAAGAATCGGATGGCCAACACACCACCACAGCCACCACCAAAGGTCGTGGCCGGGCCGATGAGATTGTACGTTGGTTCGTTGCATTTCAACATTACTGAGGACATGTTGCGTGGAATATTCGAGCCATTCGGAAATATCGATAACATTCAACTTATTATGGATTCGGACACAGGACGATCCAAGGGCTATGGGTTCATTACAGTGAGTATCCTATTTTTTAAAAACAAAATCCTGCACAATTCCTCATTTTCCCCATTTCTTCCATTCCGTAGTTCCACAATGCAGACGATGCTAAAAAGGCACTGGAACAACTGAATGGTTTTGAGTTGGCCGGTCGTCCGATGAAGGTGGGCAACGTAACGGAACGGTTGGATGTGACTACTCATGCATCGCTCGACACGGACGAAATGGATCGCAGTGGAATCGATCTGGGGGCAACCGGACGGTTGCAGCTGATGTTCAAACTGGCAGAAGGTGCCGGTCTAGCTGTTCCTCGTGCAGCTGCCGATGCTCTGCTGGCAACTGCGCCCCAGCCCGCACCACAGCAACCAGTGACACCATCTCCACCGATCGCAACGCAGTGTTTCCTACTGGCGAACATGTTTGATCTGGCAACGGAAACTAACCCCACTTGGGACGTGGAAATCCAAGACGATGTTATCGAAGAATGCAACAAGCATGGTGGAGTGTTGCACGTCTATGTAGACAAGGAGAACGTCGGTGGTAATGTTTACGTGAAATGTCCGAGCATAACGACAGCCGTCCTAGCGGTCAATGCACTCCACGGTCGATGGTTCGCTGGACGGGTCATTACGGCAGCGTATGTACCACTTGTAAACTATCACACACTGTTCCCAGATTCTGCGGCAGCCACCGCTATGCTTAAACTGAATCGAACAAATTAAAACATGTTCCCTTGGTAGGATATTATCTCTTTATTTTCCCCAACTCGTCTGTTACGTGTGAGCGCGTGTGAGAGTGTACTTGTTTCTCCACTTAGAAGTTCTACCAACGTAAATGTGATATCATGTCAAACAGAAAAAAAAAACAACCCAGAACCGTTTAAATTAAGCTACTACAAACAAACAGAACAAAAGTCACATGCGCACCGGTTCTAGTTCCAACGATTTCGAACTTTCTGAACTAATGTGTGCTAGGTTATCAATAGGATGAGTGAGCGAATGAGTTTTGATAAGTTGAAAGCCAACACAGCAATCTTTGGCTATGATTCAGTTGCACCTAAGCATAATAACAAGAATCTGGTGTCCAGGTTAGTTGTGATTAAGTTTAAGTTTTTCTCCCAAAAATCTTCTTAGTATGGTTTAAAAGCCTTTTATTTTTTAAGAGAACTGTATGTAGAAAGTTGTAACTTGCGTGGCGATGCTTAACTTCCGATCCCACTGATTCGTGACATACAATGAAAGGCGAAAGAGGGATACGGTTTAATCATCAAGCATACACTAATTTTAATCAGTAGCGATTCTGATACATTATTATATTCTGGTGATGAAATGTAGAAGAATGCGTTTGAGCGTTGTACAAAGATATTAAAGAGCGTTGTTCTGTTTTCGAGTCCGAAAGTCCTTTTAGCCTCTGGAGTCTGAGTAGAGTGTTTCTAGCATCAAAACGTTCCTTGGCAATGAGTTGTAGCTCATCATTGTCCGGTGCAAGGAAGTATGTATCAGGCTGGATTGTTTCAGCTCATCATTTGAAGTAGGGTAAATGATGGTTCGGCACCCAATAACTGTTTTCGGCAACTAACAATTAACAATTTCGCTACACGATATTGCAAAAAAACTCTTTTTTTAATTATGACTACAATTTTACATATTTATGAGTACAGATATAAGTAACAGTTATTCATTTATGAGTAACAAATTCTCATAAAGGTGTAAAAATTATACACATTTTAGGGGCAGTCCCGTTTTCCTTCGAATATGCTTATTTTATAGCTAAATTGAGTCCTTTATAGTCATTTTTGCTATAGTCATAGATATTGATTGATTGATTTCTTTATTATAGAGACTTTCAGTCGTTGGCTGTTTCGTCTCTGAAAAGATAGTGTGGGGTCCAGAAGGGACCTCATCTAGTTAAAGTTTTTTTTTCTCCTGTTTTATCATGTTAGGAGGTCTATAAGAGTCAATAAAGGCACGGTATTACCAAGCCGGAGGTGGCGGGTTCGATTCCCGGTCCGGTCGAGGGAATCTTTCGGGTTGGAAATCTTCTCGACTTCCCTGGGCATAGAGTAGTATTATTGTGCTTGCCACACAATATACAAATTCAAGCATTGATATTGGCATCGAAAGCTCTCAATTAATAACTGTGGAAGTGCATTTAGAACACTAAGTTTAAAGCACGCAATAAGCTAATATGCACTAAGCACTAAGCTTGAAATGCGAATAAGGAGAAGAAAATCTATAAAAAGCCTCCTCTAGTTAAATACTGAGGCTGTCAATGTGCTGTCTTTCTTCAGAGTTTTGATTGTTAAGTTGCTGAGGATCTTGCTTTGGTTTGAGATGTTGGGTGATAAGAGAAAGTCCATCAAATTTTGTATTGCGGTGGTCGGGATTTTGGCAGGTTTCATATTTGATCGGAGAGGCCGGCCTCGCGGAGGAAGCCCATTAATACTTTGATTCTAGTCGGGACTCAGTGCGTCCCTAATGCTGCCCGGTATGCCGTACAGCTCTCGTGAGCCTTCGTATTGAGTACAATGGCAGATTATGTGTTCCACTGAACAGTTGGTGCGGCAGAGCTCGCAAAATTTCCGAAACGGGCCGCTCCCTGAAAAGTTATGCGAGACTCTGGTATGGCCTGTTCTGAGTCTTGCCAGGACAACCTGAGTTCGGTGGTCAGGGGGGTCTTGCCATCTTCGTGTGTCAGCTTTCACTTTTCTAAGGAAAATGCTAGTTGATTGGAACCTCCTTGGTGAACAGTTGGGCTCGTCTTCCAGAAGTCGCTAGATGGAACCGCCTCCATATTACCACGAATGCCGCAGTGACCCGGAATCCATACAAATGTAGTGTTTCTGGGGGCATACCGCTGAATGGCTTGGATCCATGAGTGCTTGATAGAGTCTGAGTTGAGGGCTAGAACTACACTTGCGGAGTCCGTAAATACGGCAATCGGCTTGTTTGAGGGAGTGGTAGCAGCAATAAAGCAGAGACCGCTTCTGCCGAGAATATAGTGTACTGGTCTGGAAGTCGAAGTACGGACATTTGGGAGCCCGTGATGCCGATGCCAACCCCTTCACGGGAAACCGATCCATCGAATTAACGGATAGTGTGGTTGCAGTATCTGGTTCTCTGGAGTTCCGCGACGGATCTCACAGTGCCGTAGAGTTGGATCCTGCCTTGAACTTCTTGTTTATCGCCAAGTCGATAATGGGCCCGTGTAGGTTCTAATCTCTGGCTCCACACCAATGTATGCTAGACACTGGGGATAGTCATAGAGGCCTCCCTTAGCTCAGTCGGTACAGGCACAGCTAAGTTGAGAGCACGCAATAAGCTAATATGAGGGAAGCTATAAGCTTGAAATGATAGTAATTTTTGCGTATTTTGCGGTTTCCGTAACGGTTTTGTAGCTAAGTTATTCACCCATATTTTTGTTTTCGTTCTAACCGGATTTTTCATTTATAAAAATCGTATGGAAAATACGAAAAAGAAAGTCGATGAAGAGAATCGATCAATGTTACTTAGGACCTAATTAATTGCTCGGCTTGAAGTAATTGTAATTGTAATTGTTCAGTGCATAGGCTGTGCCTTCCGCTAAGAAGGCTTATCTAGGGACCAACCCCCTAGTCTATACACCTACTGTCCTTCCCGTTGCACTCGTCAGCTCGTGCGATACTCTAGACACACATGGGTGGTCGTATCCGGGTCCTCCCCTGGGTAGACTCGTGTCCGTCCAGGTTCTGGTACATTAACTTATCTATATGCATGGTAATTATACTTTTAAAACTCACCTTTTGATTATAATGTCGAAAATGCTGTAACTAAATAAAGGTTAGCGATCCATATAAGGTGTGTGCTGCGACGGAGTAGTAATTGAAGGAAATGAGGTTCTGATGTAAAGTATAGGTAATTCTAAAATAGGTAAATCAATTAATCATTAGCTGCTAACAGTTACTAATAAATGGGTACGATAAATCACTCATCAATGAGTATTGCCACTCCCGCTGAAAAATGGGCAAAACCTTAATCATAAATGGATATTCGATTCCTACCGTGTATTTAAAGTAAAGTTAGGATCTTATCAAGCAAGCACACACCTTTTACGATTCTTATCCTACTTACGGTTTCCTGCACATACGACTTTTCCTAGATACAAGCTTCGTCCAGTATACATTGGCTGTCTCCAACCGGCATGATCCTTTCTGTCTACTTCCTCTTGCCGGTGCAAGTTTAATTCTTCTTTTCTTGTTCGAATTTTCTTTTTCTCCTATTGATCTTCTGGTCGTGTTCCCATTTGTCCTCAGGCAGTTAATATTAGTACATGATAGGAAGAAAGAAAGAAATAGAACAAGTTAAGTGTGAGCCGCATGCATTGGTTACTTATTTAGGTCATGGTGTTGTCTTCCCTATTTATTTACCTATTCGCTCTCATATCGCAACGTTTAACTCTGGATAAACAATAGAAAAGGGCCCATCAGCACTCGCAAACAAACCGCTCCAAAGCCCCCCACTCACAAAGCGAAGGCCACCCACGCAAACCAACACCATCATCGGATAGGGGAAACTTCCACCTACACGAAGATGGTGTTGGCCCGCGTGAGCAGCCTCCGATCTGTGAGGAATGGGCCTTGGACGGTCTGCCCACAAATGCCGATGGGCCCCCCTCCATTGTTGATCCAGAACTCACCCCCTTCCCTCACACTATTAAGGTCGGAAAAGAGAACCCATATTTAGTAATCTATCGCGAACTGCGATGCAGAAGATATTAATAGCAAACTAATCTGGAACTGGTCTAAGACATATGACCCAGTGAGTATTGACACCTCACACTGTTGTGAATGAGCACGGACGCGAGATTTACTAGAGTATTAAATGCAAAACGCAATTCAAAATAAAACTTGACAAGTCATCGTCAATCCCCTTATTCTTGGGCAGGGTCTGACGATGTGAATCTGATTTTGATCAGTGAACGGGCCCCATATGGTACAATTTCTCACTATGAACATGTCATTTCCAGCCTATCTGAACTATTTAATAAATGGAAACCATAACATGGGTTACGCTTCCCCTAAGCGGGCACTCCGCATCCTATCTCTGTCTTATCTCAAATGCCAATGGTTTGAATGTATCAACACAGACAAACAGACATAACACATTGAATATTTCTCACTGTAAAACATCGTCACTAAAACATTAACGCCATCTGTTGAGTACAGTGTGGTGGGCACTACACTGAATAGATGGCGGTAGTGTGTAAACGTCAAACGCAAGGGAATTGACTATGCGCGCCACAGGTGGCGGTACTACCAACTACGTTACTTTTAAATTGTCCGTTAAATGCTTGTTCGATGAATAACTTACGAGTGTTATGTCTGTTTGTCTGTGGTATCAATATATACATTGGAAATGACGTTCAATCAAATAAACCCATACCCCACTCACTTGGCCAGGCTTCAGAATCGTCCAGTGGGCAGTGCGCTCTACACTCCAAGTTCCCTTTCTTTCAAATTCACCCCAAATTTGATATTTTACCCCTTTGAGTGTTGATTAATCACAATGAAACATTGTGACAGAGCACGGACTTGAGGTTACTAGAGTATTAAATAATCTAGGTCCTATTTAGGATTATATCTGAAAAATCCAAATTTGGCCAACGCCCACCAATTAATTGCTCGGCTTGAAGTCATCATTAATTAAACAAATATTTCGTTGCGTCCTTCGTTTGCCTAGTTATTTAAACTCCATCTATTAGAAGTATGTGATAATATAAACTTAAATTACGCAACTAACATTCACGCCGACACGGTCACTGCCGCAGTCGTACCATCATCGGTGTGCTTCTGGACGTGGATAACCAACTCCCGGTTTCTGATGTACGCCGCCGGACAGTGCGGACACTGGTACGGCCGTTCTCCGGTGTGCGTCGACATCTCGTGCCTCTTGCGGTCGGTGAAATGCGAGAAAGATCGTTCGCAAAACCGGCACGCGTACGGTTTGACTCCGGTGTGCACCCGCGTGTGCGCATTCAACTGCTCCTGGGTGGGCAATTTCTTCGGACAGCACGGGCAAGCGAATGGATATTCGCTGGCGTGAACCGTTCGCCGGTGGCGCTTCAGGACACCCTTGTTCCGGAAGTTTGCCCCACACACATCGCAGACATGTTTCTTCTGTTCGGAGTGCGTTTCCTGGTGATTTTTCAGTCGCTGTGGTGTTCGGAAGACTTTTTCGCATTTGTCACACGGGTACTCGGTGCTCTTTCCTAGATGAACTGTATCTTCGTGCTCGCGGAAGGTAGGCCAACGGTTAAAGACTTGTCCGCAGAATCGACAGATGTACTGCTTGTTGAAGCGATTGACACGGTGCCACACAAGGCAAGTCGTATTTTCGAAAGCCTTAAAACAACCGGGACAGACGTTCTGTTGGCTGGTGCGCTCGGCTTCGTTTTCTCTTCGTTTCCCCGCATGCCGGTCGACACAATGAGCTAGCAAAAGATCTTCATTGGGGAATTCCTCAGGACACTTCGCCAGGCAACAATGGTATTTGGGCTCGGTTGGCTTGAGTTTTGCAGTAGAATTTTCTTTAGTTGAATCTAGTTTTCGGCCTTCAAGGTCTTCGCTTCCCGTAGCTTCGTCTTCGACAACAACAGTGGACAGATGATTGGGAGCTTGCAGCAGGTGATTTTTTATACTGTGCTGCTTGGAGAAGATGAGGTTGCAAATTTTGCAGTGAAACAGCTTATTGACGGTCCTACGGCTACTTCTATGCATCAATAGACCACGATTCCATTCGAATCGAGCGAAGCACACATCGCATTGATATTCACCGAGCGATTCGGCATTTTCGACCAGATGAATTGTTCGTCCATGCTGAAGTAACTCATCGTAAGTCTCGAAGAATTGTCCGCAACCGCAGCAGCGTTCGCCGTTTACAGTGAGAACTTCGTAATGCTGTTGGTCATCTACGTGGATTATGAATTGCGAATCCGGCATATTCAGATGACGATGTCTGGTTATGGATCGATTATTCGCTCTCGCACGATTTCCAGTCTTGCTGTTAAGCTCTGGAAGTTCCCGATCGATAGCTTTGAGTACGTCAGCGTCGTTCAGTTCAATGAAAACTTTTTCTGCGGATTCTGGTTGGAGGACGTATTGTCTGTGTTTTTCGCTATGCTCTTGATGATATTTTAACGATCTTTTCCCAGAAAAAGCTTCATTACAAAGCGTACAAATGAGCAAATATTTACTGGTGGTACAATTGATGTGCTTAGATAGTTCTTTGTTATTTTCGAAATTTGTATAACAGATTGGGCAAAAGCATCCAAAACTGATGTCTTCATGGTTGCCGTGTGCTTCTTTTGCGTGGATGAACAATTGATCTCGCTTATCACAAGTGAAGGTACACCCGCAACACCTTTCGCCACTAATTCTAACGAATTGAAACGTTTCAAAGAACACCCGCCGCACCACTCGATTTTCGTTGATATTACTCGGAGGAACTCCATCGCAACTTTTGATGTAATCTTCTATTTGTTCCAAAAGCTCCGCTTTGTGTTTCTTTCTGTTAGCCTTTTCAGGAGAAACTCTGGATTCCATTAAAAGGCCTTCGGCTTCCAGTTCACCGACCATATTCTCCCAATCGCTGCCACAGTTGCTCTCGTCTTCACTACCGTCTACCGCACTGCTTTGGTCTTCATCACAGATTTGTGATTCGAACCCGTCTCCTTCACCGTCGTATTCCACATCGACTTCATTACTCGACGATACTTTCACAACGCTGCAATTAAATTTGAAAATTAGAAGATAATCATCTCCTGTTAATACAAACTGCTGTTACCAACTCGATTCAGGTCCTTGGCACTGCTCCAAATGCATTTCAATTTTCCGCGGGCTGTTAAAGTACCGTTCACAAGCCTTGCACACGTAGATGGACTTCGATCGGCAATCATCGATGTGACGGGTCAGTGTATTCTCGCTGTTGAACTTGTAGAAACAAATCGGACAGTAATTGCCGCTCCCGAGAATTTCAATCGCGTGCTCGCTATCCGAGTGCTGCAGCAGTTCCTTTCGATTCTTTCCGACAAAACTACACCCACAACAGCGATCACCTTTCACTTCCACCAGCAGGTGATTCTGGTGGTCAACTTTACGCAAAACTACTTCCGATTTAGGCATTACGAAGCTCGTCTTTTTGTACGTACGTTCAATGTTGTTCTTTTTCGATGCTTGTTGATTCATATCCTCCGTAGGAGACTCTGCTAGCCTTTTATTCGTCCTATTAGTTACATCCACAAATTCTATCCTGCATATGTCCACCGATCTATCGTGGTTGTGATCCTTAACAGTATTCTCGGACAGATACTCCTCCTCCAGATACTCATATTCATAACCGAATTCGTCTTCATCAGCTTCAAGAAGCTGCTCCAGCTTTATCTCGCTTCCCACGACGAACTGCTCCTCTTTTGCACCGTCGTCGTCTTCCGTCGCCTGTTGCAGCATTTCCACCACTTGGGTGCTGGCCTTTTCTACTTCTCGAATCGCTTGGCGGATAGCGTAGCCAGTCGTAACTTTCTGAACACAATCGTAGCAGATTTCCTGTGGTCGAAAATCTTCACTGGAAACAATAACACCGCCCAGTTCTTCGACCATGGCTGCTATCACGAGTCCACTTTTACCATCCCGACTGTGGATTGATATTAGCTTTTCCGAAAGAGACCCACTACAGGAGCAAATTCTACAAATTCCACTTGAGGTTTCCATTGTTTCTAGCTGATGTCGCAGGCGATTTTCATAATTATGTTTTATACTGGAATCAACAAAGAATATCACAACACTAATTTCCGTTTTGAGATTGAGCAGAGGCAATTTTTTGTTATGACAGAAAAACCCAGTGAAAAAACAAAATGGCGCATCATGTGAACGTCACAAACATCATGATGTGATGTTCTTATAATACGTTACGGTACACGGAGAAAAAATCAATGCTGAATAGGTCTGTGAGTTCAAATATTACGTTACGTGGGAGGGAGGTGGGTCACATATTCTTACAAATTATTCTGCTAAATTTAGGGGGTGGTAGCAACAATCAATACGAAACTAACGATTTTAAATTGGCTCACCACTTTAGTAGCCAATTGGTCCCAAGCAAACGATTAACGTACCCTATTCTAGTTGAAATTCTATTACTACACTATGTTTGTTTTGATTCGCTATGAAAGTTTGACAGATAACATCAGGGGTGTGTGGATTCATGCAGAACATGCAGGGGTGAGTGAAATAGCTTGGGACTGCTTGGGACCGTTGTTCTGGTACTGAGTGAGCCAAAAATAATAATGATTTTCTTCGGGACCCAGTGGTCTTAGAGTTACCTCTATGGTGGTAGTCTGAAGATAAAATTTTAACCTTATACGTTATGGTTATTTGGAAGTGGACCTTACAAATAATGGGTTGTTAAGAACCACAAGCCAGCCTTTTATCAGAACTTTTGGTTACTTGGGGATTCCACTAAGACGCCCACATTCATCCATGTGATCAGAGATGTTCAGAACATCCCGGCGGCGCTGACTGCGATTGAACACAGGCCTGGTGGGGTAAGAGGTAATCACGCTTACCACTACACCACCGGCATCGCTAAATGGTATTACATACGCTAGGGAGTGGAAAAAACGCCCCCGCAAAGGGAAATTAGACAAAGGCGAATTCAAAGAGAAATTCTGCTGAGAACTCCTGGGGAGAAGAACTTCTGGTGAATTCTATAGAAAGTTGTGCGTATCAACGTAATATATGAATGGTAGCATAAACGTATATTGTATGTGCATTGGTAGCATAGTTGGAATTTTGGCTAAACACCATGCAAAAATAGCGTTAGCTTTACGGAGCCGATAATTCATTGTTCACTGTTTGTAACAAAATTCACTTAATTCTATGTCTAGTAGAAGTTGGGCCGAATACTCGGATAGGATCAGGGGAGGAGCTTGGGCGTAGGGTTTCGTTGTCTCATCAGAGCGATGTCGCCAGTATGATTGGTAGTTCGATTCTAGATTCGTCTGGAGTTCAACCGGCTATGGTGAGTGACCAGTGGGCGACGATGAGAGTCATCGAGACGGTGGGACATGACAAAAAACACTATTAAAGAGAGACAAAAGACAAAGTAATTAAATTCTTATACTAGACATTTGAAGAAACACATAAACCGACTGCATATAGCAGATATTGCGAGTTCCCAGCACGTCTCTGATATAAACATAGGGTTGTCTTCCTTGGGCCTCGAGGGTATTCAAAAGTCGCTCTCTGGCGGCGTCATTATCCGTACATTGCCAAACTGCGTGAACGATGTCATCGTAACCGTTTCCACACTGACAGATGTTGCTGTCCACGAGGTTTATTCTATTGAGATGAGCATCTAGCGAGTAGTGGTTGGACATAAGTCTACTCATCACACGAATGAAGTCACGACTTAAGCCCAAGCCTTTAAACCACGCTCTCAAAGAAACATTAAGAATAATTGAATGTAACCACTGTCCAAGATTTCCAGTGTCCCAATCGGTTTGCTCACCCTTGCGAGAGAGTTCGCCTTTTCATTGCCTGGGATTGAGCAATGTGAGGGGACCCATACAAAGATAATCATATATGATCTTTCGACCAGCACACTCATCTGCTCCCTTACCTTTGAAGGAAATAAGATGAGTGCCTACCTTGTTTCATCGACCGAATAGCCTCGATCGAACTGAGACTATCTGAGAAGATAGAAGATGAAGTAATGGTCTGTGGGCGTATTGGAAATCATCTCCAATGCGAAGTTGATTGCTTCCAGCTCAGCAACAAATAAGGAACAAGGTTCCTGAAGCTTGCGGAAGGCGCTAGATTTTTCATTGAAGACAGGTTCTTTAAAGGTATTGAAGTAAATGCATATTCGTAATCTGCATTAAAAATAGAAACCAAACCCAAAATTTCATCAACTTTGGTACACATACATTTGCAAAAATCACCTTATTAGCGCCCCTCGGTGTCACTTTGTATGGGAGCGAGCTGTCAGTTTGTCAGTTTAGTGTCAAACAGTGAAGTTATTATTTTGCTTTAAATTTTGAAAAACCGATATATTTTTCAAAATTAAAGAACCCAATTGACTTGTTGGTACTTTTCAGTAAAAATACGCGGGATAATAATAGGTCGAAGTTGATCGGGAATCCCCACGGTCTGAAGTTTAACAAGGAAGACATATCTGACGATATGGAGTGGTGGTAGATTCTCATAAATCGAGATTGTGGGTTCAGCCCACGAAATTTCTTCAAAATTTGCAATTATAAGTGTGTTCGTCAGCGGCGCCGGTGGTGTAGTGGTAAGCGTGATTACCTCTCACCCCAGCAGGCCTGGGTTCGATCCCAGTCGGCGCCGCCGGGATGTTCTGAGGCATAACACCTCTTATCACGCCTTCCTTCGGAAGGGAAGTAAAGCCGTTGGTCCCCGGTTCATGAGTTGATGGGTCGATAGGTAGGGTCCAGGTGTGGTTGCTGTTGCTGTTGGTGCAGCTCCACTTGGTTATTTGGCTGAGATCATTATTTTTTATTTATTTATACAGTAACCCCTCCCTATGGTTCAAACATCAATTCAGCTTATCGTTTACCAAAACGAACCCTACCCTCTTACCCAACATCCCAGTGACTCCTCGTGGAAGTGCAGAGGATTTCTCGGCTTCCATCAAAGCGAGTGTCACGTCAACACATTCCTACCCATTCCTTTCTTGACCTGCGTTCAGGCGCGGCTGGCGCTGGTATTGCCTAATTTGAGATCACCAGTTTTTACACATTGAGGATGATTGCTAGTCCCAAGCATCGTCTATTGGTTCTCTGTGTAATTACAGCTGATCTGGCAATAACAGAGTAGCAACCGTGGGCGGTCAATCATGCTCATGCTCATGCTCGATAGGTAGGGTCCAGGTGTGGGAGCTGCCTTCCTGGCGTCGGTAGCATTGGTGCTCAGCACGGAAAACAAGATCGACGGAAAACAAATCGAAGAAAAAAAAACAATAAAATATGTTACACCTCTAGTTATATACTCTGGCGTAATGCGCCCGGTGAATTGTTGTGTGGAAAGCATAACCATCAGGCGTAAATATTTTATTTTCAATATGGAAAGAACAAAGATTAAGCCTAAATGTATGCTTCCGTTGAATCCTTTAATTTTCGTTGACAATATTTATAATTATTGTAATATCTAGTCAATAGTCTAATATAACAAATAGGTAGTATTGCACTTAAATATCGATTCACTTTGTGACTTAAATAGGGATATTCCTTAGTATGTGCATTTTACCCCCATCTCCCCATACATAATGAACTCCTTAAAAGTGCGGAATCGCTAATAAAAGTGCGCTTTAATGTTGTACGTCTTGGTGTCTTCTGCGCAGTTTTTCGTTATGAGGCAAGGAATAAGTACGCCTAAGACACCAAATCGATTTAACGTAAAAGCGCACTTTTATTAGAGCTTCCGCACTTAATAAGCACAATGTGCAATAGTAGTGTTGGATAGAATTCTAAGGTAGTTCTGACTCAGATAATTATAGGAAAACTCTTAAAAGTGTGAAGATTTCCAACGAAATTGTAGTTCAGGTAAAGTTAAAAGTTTTTACTATTTTTGCATCATGTTAACATTTTTTTTGCAAGGGGAATTGTAGGTTGAACGAATCTTTAAGATTTTTAGATATGATTATTAAACTAGAACTTGTGAGATCTTAATCATGTTTTTTTTTCGATACGTTGGACAAAGAAAACAAATTCAAATTCATCAATCAATTTAAATTCAATAAGTAACAATGAGAAGAAGAAATATGATTGATTCAGAGTCAAACAAAATCATTCACAATTTTCTACAACGGGATTTAAACGGGAAAATATTAGAGAATGCGAATTAAAACAAAAAATGACTGCTTGAGGCTTTGGAATTTTAAGGAATCGGATGATAAATGTGCTTAGTATCAGCAGAATCGTTAGGATATAGGCGAAGACATCATATCAAGAAGACTGGCAACTTTGCCAGAATTCAAGTGGCAGATACAATAGCGCTGCGCTTGAGTGAAGGTGGAAGCAACGTATGGAGAAATGAGCAAATACACAAACCTTTCTTCTGAGGATGTAATCTTTGCTATTAAATTCGTTCGAATCTTTTACCTTTGAGCGGCAGATGACGCGATTGTACCTGTCTCATAGCTTTCGTATGAGAAAATCGAAGCCAGTCTTCTTGATTTGTTGTCTTCGATATAGGGCAATTCAATTCTGAGACATTAATTTGTTTTCAAGACATCAGCATTAGAAAGAAGTGATCTCCAGGCATTAGCTTAAATTTAGAATTCAACACGAGAAGAAACATTGTGGCTATATTGCAAGGGCGGGATGTGCTATCAAATCTGCCTACTGATCATCCATCAACGATATGTTAATTGGTAAGGCGCAGTGAATTTGTCGTAGCTTTGATTTTCCATATGTGAATTTTGTTCCAAACATCAACAAACTATCGTTGCTTATGACTTGTTGTCGTTTGGAACCAGTTATACGATCTAGGCGACGATTGTTCGTATTTGACAGTCGCCTCCCCCTTGATATATTGTCCATCAACTCCCAACGATTCTCTCTCGGCACGGTGTGATAGGGGTACTGCGGAAAAAATGTTTAGATCCTGACTCTAAAACCACTATCTTTGGCTCTTCCACGCCAAAGGTCCTGCAACGTGTTCAATCAAAAATATCAACCCAATAGAGATAAAAGCCAAAACCATGGCACTCTGAGTTTGCCATCATCGTGACAATCAATTTGTTTAA